CGTACTTTGTTTGTTTCGAGTTGATGCCTGCTTGTAGGGTCTTTGTTGGTAGTTTTATTTTATGTCTAAGTTCGCGATACAGTTTATTTAACAAATAAAATCAATTAAATCTTTACTTATCAAATCCAGCAAGTTCAAATTTCGTCTAACGAAACATTTATTAACAACAAATTTTTCGTTTATATAAGTAATAATACTTATAGTCAGAAGTTTTCTTAAATATATTTTCTTCAAAGCAATTGAAACTGAGCAATTATTTTACAGGCTGTGCCCGCGGTTTTACTCGTATGAATCTTATTGCATATGTGTTATTCTGGTGTGTAAGTTATATATTACTGGAAAGTTTCACCAAAATCCGTTCAATAGTTTCTGCGTGAAAGAGTAACAAACATGTATCAATCCATAATATCCACATAATTCCACACAATCCACATAAACATTCGCGTTTACAATATTAATAAGATACTGTGGTTTATTGTTAATTAATCTACCCTTAGATACTAGTTCATTTTAATTTTTAAAAAAATTTAGCTAGATCTAAAATAGATAGAAATAAATGAGACTAAAAAATAGTTGGTCAAGAATAAATAGAATGAAAGCCATCTATTAAAAATATTCCGAAGTAGCAATTAACAGACAAACAATTGACAATTAACAGACAATTGTTTATTATTGTATTTTTAGCTGTACATGATTTTTCCGGGTTTTTTAATACCCTTTAATACTATTACCATTTAATATACTCGTGGTCAAGTCCTATTTTGAGTATCAGAGAAACTGATGAAAAGTAATAATTGTTTATTTTACAATGAAAGAGTATTCAGTACATAAAAAGTTTATGTAAATTGAGAAATGTAAGTACTGAAACATATAATACAATATGCAATAGACTAACACAGTCTAATGCAAGACGCTAATGGCATAGACAAGAATCAGTGAACATCGTGCACCAGACGGCTTAGCTTACTTCTACTAAAAGCCCACTTAGAAATCTCTTCAGTCGCGGATTTGTGCCGAGGGCTCTCGAACTTTTCGCGATTTATACAGCCAATAAGTTATTTTTGCTTGATGTCACTTTACTATTAAGTAACTATCGTAGAAATCTTCTCTAAAATGTTCCAACAAGTATAAATAGGCCTGTAATAATGGAAATGTATAAGTTTTATAAGGAAGAGTCCACGAACGAACATAATTGAAATAAATAACATTTTAATATGTAACAAATTTTATGAGCTAGCCTACTATCCATGTATTTGTGTATCTATATTTATATATTATTGATAAAAGGTATAGTTAGTAGTATTAGTAGGTATTACTTATTTTTTTAATCTCCATTTAGTCTATAAAATTTGACTAGCACAGACTTATCTACGAATAGTTCTTTTTACGTACTCCTAAAATAGGAGTACGTAAAAAGAATTATTATTTTATATACATGCAATTTGCAACTTTATTAAACTGCATTGTCCATTGATTTTAATGGATATAGACTAGTTTGTGTGTGACGGCCTTGGTGGTATAGCGCTTCGCCTTACTTCGGATGTCTCATGGGCTCGATTCCTCGGATGATGCAAAAATTTGTACCGATGAGTATGATTGCTTGTCGTCGGTCTGGGTGTTTTCGTTGTATTCTATCAATTTTCTTTGTATATTATAATTTTCTTTCTATCAATATCATTCAAATCAGACTAAAAAAAGAACTTATTTATAAAATAAATTTATGTAATTGGTTATTCATACAATTATAAACAAGCATAACTCAGATTGTATAAATAAAAAAGTAACATCTGACATTAATATTGGATTATATTACTGGGAATACGATCTTAGATAGATATATTAAAAGCGTAATATCTAAAACATGTATCATTTTAATTAAACATAAATCTATTCTCAATAATTTCGATCATTTTAAGAGCAACAATGTGGGGCGGGGGGCTGCTATTATTTGCGGAATTGCGACAAAAGCTCGTCGTCCCCTAATCTTACGCTGTTTGTTCATATTAAGCCGTATTAGAGCGAGCACACATTAAAGACAGAATTATACTAAAAATATATAAACTTTATATTCATAATTCAAGAACAATAATTTACATGAAACATAAAATTTTACTAGCATATCAAGTAAGATAATAAGAACTAAATAAGATAATGTGCGTATGTAAAAAGATATAATAAAGTTTGTAACAACATAATAGACAAGAGTATAATATACATAATAGAACATTGTGTTGTAATTAATGTAAATCTGAATGTCGCATTGGAAGATTGTACTTTATTAGTGTATGGATATCGGATATTGGAATGAATTTCAGATACTATCTGAATATTAGAGTCGACGCTAAAAAGGCACAATGTCTATTATAACAAACGACATAATGTGGTCTTTAATGCATTTGTTGTATGAATTATGTAATATAAGATAATGGTTATACTATAATAAGATATATATTGTCGTATTGTTATTGATTTCGTATTTTTGGCTTTGTTTTTACAGGATAGTGTATTGTGGCCCTAAGCGCTCTAGAAATACACCAGAATTTGAACAGCCGGTCCCCGCGTGTGCCGCGAGTGTAGCATTGCTGCGACTCATTGTGGCATGTTATTGCAAACCCACATACGTGCTACAGCCGACTATCTGACATTTCATGCCGATGAACCTACGTGCGCAGCGCATACTTTCAACATTTGCATAAAATACCTTACCAATATATTTGTATTGCTATAAGATGTTACATTATCTTATTGTTATAACTATAGAATAATTATCACACAATATATAATCATGGTATTACAAATACCTGATCACAACTAATGCATTTAATGAAATCGCATACATTTCGTTATTTAACTACCAGCTAGAAAATATGAAAGGTTTTTATTAGTTAAGTTTCTCCACTGAATGATGAAAAAATATTTATTGTATATTTCTCTATATAGAATATTTACAAGCCTAGATATAAAAAGGGTTTTTACTTTCATCGTAATATTTCTCATGACTCAATAATTCAAAAAAATACGGACGAAGAGACAAATCTTTTTAACCGATGCGGGAAACTAATGGCACAGGCGAGGCTTTCGGGAAAATCCGCTTCTTGTTGTCAATACAGGGCAACCGTGATGCCTCCCCCAGTTAAGCCTTTATTTCAAAAGTACACTATCTTGGCTTTTATTGCGCTCGCACCACAGACAGTCACAGATGTAAGTAAATGCAATAAAATGAAGAGAAAAACTCAATCTGATATCAATAGATGGATATAAAAATAGTTCTGTGATTTTACTGCTAGTCCCTGATGTTTTATTATGTACGTTCCCATGTTGATAAGTTTCATGGTCAGAAACTATGTTTAATATAACATTGTAAACTAAGAAATAAAATAAATATTTTACGCTGTTTGCTATTTTTGTTATTTTATTAGATACGAATATTTATATTTGCAACATGCACTGAACATCTATACTAATATTGCAAACGCAAAAATGTACTATTTGTTATCTTACCAAGACTAAAGTTATAATGGCTGAATGGATCTTAATGAAATTTTCTATGAAAATAGATTCTATCACGATTACATACTTAGATTAACTTTATCTAAAAAAAAAGTAAACGAAGTTGCTGGTAATACCACCAGCTAATACTTCCATGCCTTAACTTGGCTTGATTTTCAATATATGGAGATATATATGCGCTTCTGCAAATAGTAAAAACGACAAAAATTTAAATTCGACTTATAGTTTACACAGGACCAGAACATCAAATAAAGTCAAAGGAAATCCAACAGGCATATACATTTTCACGATAGGTTAATTCTTATCTGCGATTTAGAACAGTAGCCGATGGGGAGAGAAACCCAAATGAAGCAGAGCCCCCGGTGGGAGAGCGCGGTCGGGCAGTTAGGCGACAACGGCACCTTGCGGCTTATCGGTCATCCGGCTCTTCGCTCGGTTGTCGCTTCTAGTGCATTCCGATTTCAGTATTAGGTACCAAGTTAGCGGCACTCGGTGCTGGCGACAGCTGCACTCTACATCCGTCATTTCCGTTTAGATAAATTCAAACCTAATTGCAGCCACAGAAGTTTGAGAACCATGATGCCGAGTGCAAATGCTGTATATAGTATTAATCTGCTATTTCTACAGTATGATTTTAAAACTTTTACTCATTTTGTTGTAAACGCAACGCTTGAAAAGCTTATATTAAATTTCATATATCTGAATCTAGTGATGTGTGGGCTAAGCCTAGCGACGTCTCTCGGCTTAATCTTTTAATTTGTTGTTAGTGTTTCATTAACGGGGAGAAATCAGACGGAAATATAAATTGACGTACAAATTTTCGGCGTCTACTATATTAAAAATTCACGATCTCGTCCTAGGCCGGGGAAGTAAATTACTAGGCTATCCACTATTACTTTTTTCCTTGTTCATATACATCTGAATATGAACAAGGAATAAAAGTGTACATCTAAACTCTTCGCGAATTTTTTAAAAAATTCTACACAACATGTTTAATTTAAGGCTAAGTCAGTTATAGAAGAGAGGTGCAAACTCGGCGTAGGGGTTGTAAATCATATCCTTCTCCATTTATATGGACACTTTATTACGACGGCGCGGTTTAAATCAAATGATAAAATACTTCTTATTTTATGTTTTCTTTCGCTGCACGTATATTCACCACAAACATTCCTTTATATATATATATTAAAGAATAAATGTTACCTATGCTATACTTTTAGAATACTGACTGTGAGCAACTTTATACAAATCAAAAGCTTCTATTTCTTTTGAAGAAGTTATTCCAAATATTACGACTTCATAATTGCGTTGCTGGATGATATTGATACTCAATAACCATCATGTCTTATATCTTAATAATATTAAATAGAATGATGAGTTTATTATTAAGTACTGAAATAGAATAATACCAAAATCACAAAAACAAAGTACTTCATAATAATTATTAATAATTAAGTAATATATTATTATTAATTTTATAAATAATTTACCTTGTAAGAGCCGAGGTTCTTGACTGAGCATGCAAGTCGAACACTGCGACCCGCGGGTACTGTTACATTCTGAATGACGTCGGTGAATTCGGGCTCCTCCACGACTAAAACAATAGTAATAGTAAATTAGGTTAATTGGCAATCGTCACTAGTATCTAATATTACTAGAGAATATTATTATTTATATAAGCTATTTAAATATTAGAATCAGGAATGGCACATTATTTTCATAACGCATGATTGGAATGGTATCACAAGAGTATAATAAAAAACGATTAAACTGAAAGAAAAATTAATAAGATAATCGGTAATAAACTAACAATAATATAACTATAAGAAGCTAATAACATAGCAACATGTACTTTATATGTAGATAACTATAGACAAATCACATGTACAAAAAATCTAGTATCAAACTAAACAGTCCTAATTGTATGGGTATTAGGCTACGGATAGCTTTAATTCTTATCCTAAACTCGTTCTTATCATAAACAGATGCGCTCATGATTTCATATAATAATTTTAATGCTAATTGCTTAACTTTACTTCTTTTGATTTTTTATCTCGTATTATTATATTCTTTTAGTTTAAAATAACATATTCCAGTCACATAAATACAGATGAATTGGAATGATCTCTCTTTGCTTATCAAAAATCTGGCAAGACTTTGCAGTTATAAGGACATTTTTGTGTCAAAATACGATTTGTAATTTTCAAATTATCAAAGCAGAACGCTTTTAAACAAATTGAGTGGGCGATAAGGAATAATGTCGTCGTTTATCAAGCTCCAAGATAGATGGCTGCTGCTCTACTCTGCCCATTTTAAATGCGTTTGTCTACGACTTGCCAAATTGGCGCTCTTTGTTTTTCTCTTAGCTTCTTATTTTTATGTACCCGTAGCATTACACGACTAAACGAACATGTGTTGTTTTGTTTTTGTTTAGCGTACCAGTCGTTTAGTTTTGAGTGCATGGAAAGTGTAAATAAACAATTGTCATGCAGTGAACACAGAGGGTCGAAAAACCGTCTCTGGATCGCATGTCGGCCGGAGCGGCGGCGCCACGTCGCGCGATATATCGGTGCTGTTGCATAGCCTGCATGTGCTGCACATCGTTGTTTGTTGAATAAACTTGGTCCGTAGTCGCCTGCTGCAAACTTGTTTACGTATCACAATCTCGCACAAACTGACAACAATAGATTTATTTATCCCGTTTTCGGACAATGGATTTTCGTATTCATAAAGAATTTCCGTGGCGTTTCATGCAAAATAGAAGTAAGATTATAGTACTTTTAAACTGTATATTAGTGAAATAAATTTTCTTCGGTTAGCTAATTATATTAAAGGTTATGCCGTTACCTAAAACTAAATAATAACTAGTGTAAAATGTTAATTAACTATAATAAAAAAACTTAGTTTCTATGTACACCTAAGCATATAAAATAATGAAGGCTCTATTACTCAGATTTATATATTTATCTGAGCATGTCAATAAGATATACCCGGCTGAAGATGAAAGCGGTACGTATTTGCTCACCTGATCGTATTAGCCTAAGCACGATGCTCCATTTTCTACTTCGATGCTCCTAACTCAACCCATGTAAATCGCACATTACGATCCATGACGCACCCTATTAGCTGTGTATGCGTTTCACAGCCGATCAATATATTATTTGATTAAAATTGTTGAATTTGATTCATATTAATTAATTTGAATGCCATTTCAATTTATACTTCATCCTTAAGAAAAGTATCACTGGATCATTTATAACACATCCCCACTTAATAGGTAGTTACAAAGAATGCGGAAGTGAGTTCATTAATTTCGTTCTTCTTATGGCTTATTACTAGGATAGAGAGACAATTGACCTAAAACAAAAAGTTCTAAGTTGATGATATATTTGCAATCAATATAATTTACTTTATACCTAGTTTCATACATTAGTATCGTAAGGACAGAAGTAGCATATTTATGCAGCAAAGTCTTAATTTTATTCGTTTAACAAAAGCAACAAGAAATTAAAAACACGCATTGTATTTCAGTAGTCACACACATACCAACTCAATTAATTAATATGCTTGAGTACAGGTAATAAGAATGAGGTAGATAGATAATAAGAAGCTCGTGTTGCGGAGGACTTCTATTTGTTTCAATAATACCGTACATTTAAATTAACAAGGGTAACGTTGGCAATAATCTTACACGCCGCATAAGGTGATGTGGCGTATGGAAGGGTATTTAGAGGTTAATTAAGAAACCGCAAACATTGGCGTGCGGGGCGGGTAATCCCTTTGTAACCGATACACAGGCTGTTCTCCCATGACTATTGTGTCCTAATGTAAAGAAATTAATTTACGAAGTTTGTCTAAAAAGAATCATAGTTTATTTTAATATATTTATTCTCAATTACAGTGGTAGACTTAAACAAAATTGAATAACCATAATATCAAAATTTAAATGTTTAAGCTTTCGTTATTGTAATTTATGACCTATAATTTACAATAACAAAATTAAATAATGATAGCAAGATTTTAATTACAATCTTATTTACATGGTATCTTTTATTGTTTCTTATGAATATAAATTCGACTACATAGGCGAAAAATGATACAAATGTTCCAAAATGTAAATCGATACACTGAGTTATCTTAATGAAGGACAGTTTTTCGTAAATATAAAATAAAACTCATCTTCGCTTACATTATATCTAATAATTCTTATTACATTATAGTAAACTCCAATAAATAATATTGAAAGAGTTTATTGTTGCAACGAAATTTTCGCACTAAACTGATTAATTGGTTTAGTTGTAATTTGCCAAACAGCGCGTCGATGCGAGTAGCAATTCTAATAATTGCGGCCAGGATTGGGTCGACTAAATATTCCAAAACTAATAATGAATAGGAGGACCGCTTCGCCGGACGCTCCTAACTCGAGAATAATCTCATATTAAAGCTGCCCCTTATGCAAATGAGAAGCGGTCATTCGGAAGTCATCAGACTTGAAGGGCCGGACTAAGCCGCGGACGGTCCTGACTCCGCCGCTATACGGACAGCGGCAGGGATGTGAAAAATAATCGATTATGGAATTCAATAAAAAAATGGATTTTAATATTCCAAAAATAATTGATTGATAGATTTAGGTAATCGAACCCTTATCAAATTTTAAAATACCAATTCTGGCCCCTATTCCATGGCAATAAAATTATACTATAAACCTTAAACAAAACAAAACAAAACGCTAAACACTTATTACAAAATCGAAGAATACTTGCAAGATGTAGATGAGTAGTATTATAACGTCCGCCTCACATTGCAATGCCTAAATAATTTCCCTAAGAGTTTTTTGTATCCACATCCCTTGACTGCGTCAACGACGCGGCGACGGCCGACAGCGGTAGGGCTATCACCACAAATTGACAGCCGCTGTGCCGCCAGATTGATTGCAACCACGCGCTCACCTCGTTATAACAACAACGATATGTTCCTGACAAATAAAATATTCATGTCGAATGTTTGTTTTTAGAAATGTTACAAAAAAAAACTTATTAAATATTACAAAAAAAAAAAAAAAAATTTATAAGTTTCGTGATACATTGATACGCAATGTAAATTTGAAAATTAATTAGTATGGTTATTGAGTACTACAAGCGGGATTCTTTCCCAATTAATATAATAATAATCTCATTTAATAAAAAAATATACTATATAAAAAATATACCTTTCTGACAAAGTTTTGAACTTTATATTGTTTTCTTTCTTCATAAGGAAGGTAGTCTACTTTTTATATATTCAAATGTTAATAATAACTTTTGTTTACTCAAATAATATTTCTTTTTAAATAATACTTTAATAAACAAAATGAAAAGTAACTCATTCTTGACCGTATAATAATATTATCATTTTTTCATTTCGTCGTGATAAACGCGGTCCCAGTATACAAATGTTTAAGTTTATACGTCCCTTGTCACAGATGTTGTTTGTAATATTCTCTCATACGATCAAATTCTTTTAAGAGATCCGTAGATAAAGTACATGGCGTCGGGTGTTTGGCCGGTCTTGGACTTTCACTTATTTGTATGCTCCACCCTTCGCTGGGACGGGGACGTGACTATTCGAGATACATAAACCCTGAGTGAATACAGAAAATAGAAATAAAGTAACATATTATCTTTTAGTGGACGGATTGTGGAAAAAAATAAGTATCTATTTGTTTTATGTCTAGCTTCATCATCGTATAGGTAGGTTTGAATGATCATAAAATTGATTGTAGGTTACTTTTTGATTATTTAAATATAAAATCGATCACATGTGGGAACTCCAAACGCTATGAAAATTCAAGTTATCCAAACTAGAGACTACTAATTATGTATTTAATTAGTACAAGTCAGTATTTTATAATAAATACTGTTTTAAATAACAAATATATATATACAGGTAATCTGTACACATTAAGAGTTATTCTGTCCGCGTGTCCATAGGAACTTGATCGCTTTATGTTAGGTTAATTGAGAACATTTTGTCGTAAGTTCTCCCGGACAAGTAATATCGCGGTCACTTAGTCGGAAGCTCGGAGGCAGATGTTGACAAGCCGCTCCGCCCTCTTATCGCTGTCCGCCCGTCCGGCGTCCGCCTGTCATCAACGCTTACGACTCACGAATCACCAACCGACAACATCCATTCAATCTTCTTTGGTTACTTACCCAATAGAAATGTTATTGCCGATGTATTTTATGTAGGGAACATTTATAGTATCGGTATTAAAAAAGACTTAATATCAACACGGATATCATATACACTGAAAATATTTATAGAAATCGTAAGGAATTAAATGGTTATACATTTAATTCGACATCGATTATTACAATTAATCCATTTCATCTATACCTACTATTAAAAAGATGCTAGTTTTTGATATATATAAGAAATATCCATTCAGTAATAAAATTAGTTAAATTCCATTTAACCGTCTTCTGATATAGTAGACTGTATGCATGTCCATTTAAAAATAATATATTTTAGATAATATATTATCTAAAATATATTATTTTTCCTTACTATTAATATAATTAATATTTATTTGTAACATGCGTAGCAAATTTTCGT